ATTCAAAGTTGCTTCACAAAATTATGTGGGGAAAAATACAGTATTCGTTTTTGCTGGATACCATCCCATGTTGGCATACACGGGAATGACCGCGCTAACACCGCGGCTAAAACCACTCAAAACGTATGCAGGAAACTCGTAACACCTTTGGATCTGAAACGAATATGTAAGTTTGCAATACAGCTGGCTTGGAAAAAACACTGGAGCAAACAAAAAGACAATAAATTGCATGAAATTTTTCCCTCTATAGAAAACCACAGTTTAATATCCGTTGATCGCAAAACCAAAGTTATAATTAATAGACTGTGTATTGGTCATTCCCGTTTCACCCATAAACATTTACTGACTGCTGATCCAGCACCTTGTTGTTCTCTATGTCAAGTCGACATAGCTATCAAGCATGTTTTAACCAACTGCAAACGATTCGAACATTTGAGGAACAAACTCTTTGGCAACTCTTACCCTGATCTTAAATCCATAATCGGTGACCCTATACATCACAACCTTATTACGTTTGTTAAAAAAATAGGACTTTACTCTCTGCTTTAAAAATAAAGTAATATTTTTTAACCTGGTGGCTGGCGCAGTATAGCCATGTTTGGCTCTTGTGCCAATAAACTGTAATCAACCAACCAACCAACCAACGATAGTGTTATTTTTACTTTGCAGATAAACAGATAAGGTAATCCCATGCTGGAAATGAGGTCACTAGTTAGTTTAGTTGAAACGGGGCAAAGGAGGAACACAACGCGATGGTTTATTCTTAAATGACAAATCAATACGGTACAGCAGCACGAAACGTTTGAATTACAGGATTTTGTTTTTCTTTTTTGGTTGCCTTTATTAGAGATGCATCACTACCGGAATCAATCAAAAATGATTGACCCGAATTTTTATCCATGATAAACAAACGGCCAGATTAATTGGAAGGCAAGGAATTACTCGCCGCTATTCCCTGACCACTTGATTTTTTGAAAAATCACAAGGGGGCACGCATTTGCGTGCGTTTTCCTGGAATTTACGATGGTAAAAGCACAACTTCGTAGCACTATTTCCAGAAGCAGTGGAGGAGGACTGAGCGCGCGAAGAGTTTCGAGTATCTTTTCGAAACCTGCTCCTGCTTCGAAGAAAGTTCACCTCCTTCCGTAATGATTTTATTTCCTTGTACAGCTGGGAGAGAGAAATTTCATCCACTCCCGATGAAGAAGGAGAGAGAACGGGGTGTTGAGAATCCCGCGTGGTGGTTGAACTCTGAGATGAATGGACTGAGGGAAGTGGAGAGGATTCGAGATCGCTAATATTCTGTCAGCAACTTCGGCAGCTTTTTCCGTTGACAAGGGGGAAATAGAAGCAATGATTGTTTGGACGGGGAGAGGTATCGCTTGGATAAATAATTCGAAAAGCAGTTCGTCTTCAATTTTGTGATTTTCCGCTCTGCGTTTCATATCCCGCAAGAGCTCACTTGGTTTTCTATCCCCAAGATTTTCTCCAGCCAATAGACATTTAGATTCTCCACAGCGTTCGATGATTTTGGATTTCAAGTCCATATAAGGATCAGTGACATCCGGTTGCATGATCACATCTCTCACGATCGTCGCCGTATCCGGTGGCAAATGAGCGACGACGTAATTGCAAACGTCGATTCTGGCATAAAGAACCAAAGGGCGGGGTCAGCTCGGATGAAGGGAGGGATGACTACGGCGGCAGCGTCACCTATTGTTCTGGATCAGAAGATTTTTTTATTTATAGTCCGGTCACCAATTTAGAGGTTTCAAAGTGTAGATTATTTTCCTCTAATCACTAAATATATTATGAGGANCCTGGAATTTACGATGGTAAAAGCACAACTTCGTAGCACTATTTCCAGATGCAGTGGAGGAAGAGCGAGCGCGCGAAGAGCTTCGAGTATCATTTCGAAACCGAAACCTGCTCCTGCTTCGAAGAAAGTTCACCTCCTTCAGTAATGCTTTCACTTCTTTGTACAGCTGGGAGAGAGAAATTTCATCCTCCCCTGATGAAGAAGGAGAGAGAACGGGGTGTTGAGAGTCCCGCGGGGCTGTTGACCTCTGGGATGAATGGACTGAGGGAAGTGTAGAGGATTCGAGATCGCAGGATTCGAGATCGCTAATATTCTATCAGCAACTTCTGCAGCTTTTTCTGTTGACAAGGGGGAAATCGAAGCAATGATTATCTGGACGGAGAGAGGCATCGCTTGAATAAATAACTCGAAAAGCAGTTCGTCCTCAATTTTATGATTTTCCGCTCTTCGTTTCATGTCTCGCAAGAGCTCTGTAGGTTTCCGATCCCCTAGATTTTCTCCAGCCAGTAGACGTCTGATTTCTTCTGTTTTAGATTCCCCACATCGTTCTATAATTTTAGACTTTAAGTCCATGTAGGGATCAGTGATATCCGGATTCATGATTACATCTCGCACGATCGTCGCAGTATCAGGTGGCAAATGAGCGACGACGTAGTTGTATTTTGTTTTTGCTTCTGTTATTGCCTTTGGAGCTGCTAAGGCAAAGGTTGATTCTAGCATGAAGAACCAAAGGGCGGGGTCAGCTCGTATGAAGGGAGGGATCACTACGGCGGCAGCGTCACCCATTGCTCTGGATCAGTAGATTTTTATTTTGTTTATTGTCCGTGTCACCATTTTAGAGGTTTCAAAGTGTAATTTTATTTCCTCTAATCACTAATTAATGAGGACTCCNAATGTGTAGTGAAAACAAGGATGACGATTTTTAAAACTTGATGTAAATTTATTAAAACGTAACAAGTTAGTGCGACTGCTCGCTGAGGGGATACTCACTGGAATGAATTAAAAACCATAATCCCGGCCTCTCAGGGTAGGCTGAAGAGGCACAATTTGGGGGCTTGATCTAAAAATAAATCTCCTAGAAGGGAATCGCTACAACAGCTATACCTAACACTTTATTGTAAAGAAATTTGTACACGAAATACCTTAGAACGTCCGAATTTTTTGTATACGAAATACCTTAAATTTATTTAATCAGATGATAATAAAGAAGAATCTAAAGTAGGTTCACGAAGAGCTCGAAGAAAGGGAAAATAATTACTTAATTGGTATCATAATTAATAATCTTTAAAAAG